GCAGATGAAGTTCTTCCTGAGCGAGATCGAGATCGAGGTGGACCTGGTGGTAGCTTCGGACAGCACAGCAGCGCGAGGCATGGCTCAGAGGCATGGAGTGGGCAAAGTACGCCACTTGGAGCTCCGATACCTCTGGGTGCAGGAACGAATCCGATTGCAGATGTTCAAGCTCGTGAAGGAGGACACTCGCAAGATGGTGGCGGACATCCTGACCAAGTACGTGGACAAGGACAGCATGGCGACGCACTTGCATGAGCTGAACCTGAGGATGACACGGACCCCGATGATCGTCGCCACCCTGGTGATGAACTCTGAGGTGGCGAGGGCCGAGGATCAATGCGTGACGAGTCTGGAGATCGAGAAGCAGACGCTGGAGCAGTCAGGGCCTTTTCCCTGGCTGCTGCTGAGCTTGGCCATGGTGCTGTGCTCCGTAGCTTACCTCGTCGGCTGGCACATGGGTAGGCGCAAGGCCGCCGCTCAGACAGTTGAGGAGGACCCAAGAGTGGCAATGATAGGCAGGAGCTGGACACCGCATGGAGGGCTTTCCGAGCTGAAGGTGCACCCGAAGCTCGACGACAATAAGCAGATCACGAGGGAGGTTCACCGCCTGTACGGAGCCTACACCGTCGATGAGCTGAGGGAGCTGCTAGTCAGGCGTGGCCTGGTGCTGAAGAGGGGCTACACCAAGAAGGAGGAGCTCGTCGAGAATGCCAGGGACACCAGCCCGACGGAGATGCAGATCCTCACCCAGCTGACGATGGAGTTGAAAGACCACGGGATCGACGTGAAGTGGCGTGCTCGCATGCTGGCGAGCGGGGATGACATCAAGAAGATGATCACCACCACCACGGAAGTCGTGGACCGCCTGCGAGAGCTCCTCCGATGATCCCGAAGGAGCGGACCGTGGATGAGGGTTCAGTCACCACTTCTGTGACGCAGCCCGCTCGCGTGCATAGCGACCCCGAGGAGAGGTGCTCGTCCCATGGTCAATTCTGTGAGGGGTACCCGTTCGGTGCAAGACATAGCAGGTCGCGCGCTGCCGCGCGAGAATCCCGCACACGTGATTATGGCTCAAGAAAAGGAGCTAGATTCGTCTCTCTGCCCATCTTATTTCATGAGAGAGCTGAAACAGTACGGCCAGCACCAGCTTGAACGAAGCGTGCCCCATGGGCCTTCGTGGTGATAACCCGACTGGCTTGGAAAAAAAACGTTCCAAAGCAAAAATGCCATTCGGCCGCAAAACTGTGTGAGCACACATTTGGTTTGATCTGGAAACGTCCTACACACAGCTAGAAGGGTTCGAGAAGACGCACGCGGTCCCTAAGCAAGAGCACGGAGTTAAAAAAAGAGAAAGACCATGGCGCACGACGAAGGCTCGAGCAAAAACGGAATTCGGAACGTGTGCCCGCATCCGCCCATGTAACTAACCGATGGACGTGACGAAGGCTCTGGCCACAAAAACATGTTTGAACAAGAACCGGTCAACCATCCGTACTGTTGCTGGGCATGTCTACATGCATCAGAACTGTCCTCAACAACATGCCAAACAAGACGAACTGCTGAACGCATCCCGCCCTACATCCGCGCGGATGTGCGCCACCCTAAGCTACAAGTGCGGTTGCCCTCCATTCGTGGACCTGCTGGGCGACACAATCACGCGTGTGGAGACTCCGATCGCCAAGCGGAAAACAGAGTTTGAACACAACCGCCTTCCGTCCGTGTAGCGATTAGACACATCACACTGTCTGAACACACGCCATGAACAGTTATGAGATGAGAGATGAGAAATCATAATTTCAACATAAGCAGCCCTCAACCCGTGCCGTTGGTAGATACGCCCAGTTTTAGGACCGGTGGCTATGACGGCATCTCAGGTGAGAGCCCTTACTTGAAAGCGTAATACCCTCCACGCGCATGGATGTTGGACACCCGAGGCCACATGATCATGCATGGTGAAGAACTCTCGGGCGACACCCACAAGTGCATGTTGAAAGCGACACGCCCTCCGTGAACCCGTTGGAAGACCCCTGATTTAGTATCAGGATCCCCTACGCATCTGACAGAGGGTCAAACAAAAATCAAGAGTTCTAAATCATCCGACATTCACCCTTGAAACTGTTGGATGGTTCAAAGATTCTGACCTTAAGCCGTGAGGAAGTTTCAAGAAATACACTATGTCTGAGCCGGGGGGGGGGGGCGCGACTAAGGAGTAGCACAGCCCGAGGGCAGGAGGCAGGAGGAAGAGGAAGGAGGGAGGAGGACGGAGGAGAGGGAGAGAAGGAGGAGGGAGGACGGCCCTTCCCCCCTTCTACGCGGAAGGAGGGGGGGCGGAACTGTCCCCAGCACGCCGACGCGTCCACAAGAAACACACGCCGCGGGCGCATTTTGCAACATGACTGCGGCAACGCCGTGGTCCTTGGACTTCGCGAGCGGCAAACACATCCGTATCCACGCTCGGGGATCTTCTGGCCCGGGTCAATCCAGACCCGGGTCGCTCAGGCCTTGTAGAATCCTGCAGGATCCTGCACAATCCTGCACCCAAGCCCGAGTCAGTGCGAAGGAGCCCAAAATCCTGCAGGATCCTGCGCACAGACCCGGGTCAATGCCGCCCGTGTCCCTGCAGGATCCTGCAAGATCCGGCGCTCTGGCTGACCCCCGTTAGCATTGACCCCCATCTCTTGAGCCCCGACACGCCCTCGCGGTCTGCACTCCGGGGCGCGATCCCGCGGACACGCGGTCGCACGGACACGTCCCGCGCAGGGCATCTGCGAAAGAGCGCTCCGAATCCGCAGGGCCGCGGCCCAACCGCCATGGCCTTCGCTGGCGCGCCCGCTGCGGATCTGGGAAGCGGAGCGAGGACACGATCGATGGCGCCCCCCCCACACGCCAACCATGCGGCCGCGGCCGGAGACCTCGCTGGAGAAAGTTTGGACGGGCCCGCTGATCTCGAGGCCGCGAGGCGACTTGCGGCTGCGGCCGGAGACCTCGCTGGAGAAGGCTTGGACGGGCCCGCCGATCTCGAGGCCGCGAGGCGACAACCTGCGGCGCCGCATCCCTCGAGGGCATCTCGGCCGCCGCACGCGGCAAGCAGCGCGCGCGCGGCAGCGCACGCGGCGCCGCGACCCACCCCCCGACGACGCGTCGCCAGTCTGAAGTCGGGCGTGTCCCTCTACAGGGGGAGTTTGGGCGAAAAATATCTTTAACAAAAAAAAAGTATAAAGAATACCCCCAAAGTATTCAGAAATAGTCAAAAATCGTCCCCAGACTATTTTTTTACTATTTTTGAACATTCCCCCTGTAGCGGGACACGCCCGACTGAACGCCAGTCGGTGGCGCCGCCAGTCGGTGGCGCCAGTCGGTGGCGCCGCACGGGCGACTCCGCACAGCTGCCGCCCGCACTCGCAGGCCGGCCCCCTGCAGGGCACGCCCCTCGTCGAGGCGGGCGGCCACACCATCGCCGGAGCCGCGGCGCCGGCCGGGCGCCACGCGTGCGCCGGGCCTGAGGACGCCATGGGCCTGCGTTGCATGCACCGCCCGAAGGGCGTCGACACGCTCAGAGAGCTTACCGTTAGGTCGGGCATGTCCCCCTACAGGGGGCTCTTGGACGAAGAATGAAAAATACCAAAAAAATGCTCCCAAATGGTCCAGAACAGTCAAAAAAGCGTTCCCAGACTATTTTTTGACTATTTTGAATATTCCCCCTGTAGAGAGACAGGCCCGACTTAAGCTTACCGCGAGACTCTGGCATGCGGCGATCGCGAGGGGGGAAGTCGCGCCCTGGAAGGCCCGCCAAGTGGGCACAGACGAAGGGCCCGGGCCATGCACAGCCAGCCCACGCCCTCGGCAGGCGGGCGAGAACTTGGCTCAGGTCGGGCATGTCCTCCTACAGGCGGATTTGAAAACGAACAGTATGTGTACATATACATATATAGCAAAAACAAAAAAACAAAAAACAAAAAACAAACTGCCAAAATGTTCAGAAATAGTACAAAGATCGTCCCTGGACTATTCTTGAACTATTCTGGAATATTCCCCCTGTAGAGGGACACGCCCGACTCCAGACTTGGCCAGTGAAGCAGTGGCCCTGGCCCCGCCGGGGCAGGTCTTCACTGCGCGCCGGGCTCTGCCAGCCCGGAACGCGCCGTCGCGAGGAGCGAGGCATGACGCAGCGACCTTCGCGGCTCGCACTAAACTCGGCGGCGACGATAGGGGCGAATAGCCCAGGGGCGGGCGTTACACGCATTCGCCCGGGAGCCTTGTCGAAGACATAGGTCATCGGCACCCCTGGATACATGTATTGCTCCCCCCTGGGCTATTCGCCCCTATCGTCGCCTCAAACTGCCGATGACTCCCGCCAGGCTCGCCGAGCACCGCATCTGCGCGCTGGGGAGCGGGAGGCGCTGACTCAAAGTCGCAGCTGGGACGCGCCCGCCGCCTCCCTCGGGCCCGCGACTGGCGCCTCGGGGGATTGGCCGCGGCCGTCGCATACGCCCCCCCCGAAGAGAAACGAATTGACTGAACTGACATTATGTTGCGCCCATCGCACTGAAGGACCACATCCCAGCAATAATTTCGAGCAGCCGGAAAAGTGCCGAAAGAGTACCGAAACAAGTGTCGGAACAGTGTCTCCCAAGGCCCGATACGTACAGTCAAAAACCCAAATAAGGACGCGCGGTAAGGACGCAAGACCCTTGGAAGCTGAAGTTGGGATTTTTGGGGCGGCGGACGACGAAAACCTCAAGGACGCGGGGCCTTGGCTCCAACCGGCTGGGTAAGGGTAAGTGTCCGGAACGACGGCGACGGCGACGGCGGCGACGGCGGCAGCGGCGACGGCGGCGGCGTCGGCGGCGACGGCGAGCCCGAAGGCTCCCAGAGGCCTCCGCGGGCTTCCGAGAAGCCTCCGACCACGAGATGGCTGCCGAGGGCTCCCGAACCTGGCCGCCGACGGGGCCGCCGACGGGGCCGCCGAGGGCCGCCGAGGGCGGCGAGCGCACAGAGGCCTCCCGCGGCTCCGGCTGCGGCTGGGGCTGCGCCTCCGGCGGCCCCGGCTGCGGTCCCGGCGGTCGCGGCTGCGGCTCCTGGCGCCGCCGCCGCCGCCGCCGGCGTGTGGCCGCCGCCGCTGGCGCTGCCGCCGTCTCCGCGAGGGCACGGGCCGCCTCCCGCACCCCAAAGCTCGGCTCCACTGCGCGGGTGCCGGCCGGGGCTGGCTGCTCGGCATCCTCCTCCACCCCCTCCAGAGCGTCGCCGTCGCCGCCGACGTCTCTGCAGCCGCCGCGGGCGCTGCCGCCGTCTCCGCGAGGGCAAGGGCCAGGGCTGGCTGCGCGGCATCCTCCTCCACCTCCTCCAAAGGCCTCCGACAGAGCTTCACGGCCACCTCCACCAGAGGCCGGCCGGCTGGAGCTGCCGGGAGGCCTCTATGTATCTGGGAGGCCTCCCTGCAGAGAGCTCCAGGAGAGCTCCGCAGGACTCCGCGGATCTCCCTGCCTCTCTGTTGCCTTCTGGGGTCTTCCCCCCACACTTCCCATATCTTCCCATATTCTCTGCGGAGTCGACGATTAATTGTGTCTGTGTGTTTCTTTCCCCTCCTGAGATTGGGTCGGGCACGTCCGCCCCTACAGGTGGGTTCTGGGCGAAGCATCAAAGCCAGTCAAAAAAAGTACCCCCAAAAAGTCGAACGATCCTCGAAGCATGGTCCCCGGGCTACTTTGATTTTTGAGTCTTCCTCCTGTAGATCGGGGGCGGCCAAGAGGGGGGCGTCCAAGAGGGGGGGGTGCAAATCATGGCTGGCGGCATGTGCGCTGCCCAGGGGGGGGTGGGGGCAGGGACGTATGCTTCCACTGCGGTTGCTTGATACGCTGCCCGTCTTAGGCGCCCCTGTAAGAATGCCCTCCGGCCGCTTCGCCATTGGTGAAACGAAACAACAGGTTCAAAGTCAGAAGGTGTAAGTGCACAGCGCCAGTGGGCCAAAGGGAGCGGCGATGGAGTCCACCCACGCAAACCGACCCAGCAGCTCCACAACTGTACAAAACGAGGGACGAATTACACGGACACCCGTGTGACAAAAAAGTACATTGGGCGTCGCCCAGCATGCAGTAGATGTCACGCCCAGTGTGGCAAGAAACTGACGAATACCCCCCCGAAATCAATCTCAATCGTTTTCGTAGTCGTTGTCGTCGGGTTCGTCGTCGTCCTTCTGGGTCGGCGGCACGGGCCGTAAGGCCTTCACAAGAGTGGGGGCTGGCGTGGTCTCGCTCCTACGCCAGAGGCGAAAAACGGCATAAACAAAAATTTCCGGATCTGAAAGGTTATGTATAAGTCGGGCGTGTCCCCCTTCAGGCGGATTTTGGACGAAAAATGAAGAATAATAAAATTTTGGAACATTCCTCCTGTAGAGCGACGTGCCCGACTTGACTCCAGCGCCGATCCAAGAACTCCGCGCGGAGCTCTGCAAGGTTATGTGCACGCATTCGTCACTGCTTCGGAACGTGCAGACGACACCTGCAGGTCAGAGCGCAATGCGGTAATCTGGCCCACCGCTGCCCAAGCCCCTCGTGCCGTCGCCGCCGAGCCGGGGCGTGAACGTGTCGCCCACAGGTCCCTGGGCGACGGCGGGCACGGGCGCGCGGGCGCGCCGGAGCCGGCTCCAACCTTCCCCCTGGATCCACTCGGGCCTCTCGAAAACGAGCTTTGCCACGCGCTGGGGCTGGCCGAGGCCCGTGGGCCATGGCTCGCCAGCCGTCGGGGCCGGGACCAGCGTCACCCTGCTCTGGATGACGAGGCGGAAACGATGATGGTGCTCGCTGAAGCGGAAACGCACCATCTCCACACTCAATGGAATCGCCTCTCCCCTGCAAGCGGATGCAGTGAACTCGTCCAGGCAGTGGCGAATCCAATACTCAAAGTCCTCTTGCTGATCTGGCTGGGTACACCCCAGGAGAGTATCCTCAACGGCGCACATATGTGCAAATGAACCACCAATGAACATCTCGAAGGCACTTGTGCATCCCAACAGGGTAAGCTTTGGTGACAAGGCGTCAAACCAAACAGCAAGCTCGGGCACGGTGGACAATTGCGAGGACTCGACTTCAGAGGTTCCGAGGCCCGACCGCTCCTCGGCACTCAAATGCAAACTGCTCTGGACACCCGACGTCAAAACCGACCTGGGCAATTCCTGCTGCTGCGCACCGCCGGCCGAAGCTGCGTCCCAGAACTCCCGCAGGCCGAGAAGGTATGACTCCCTACCCTCGCCCGAATCGAAACGCACACAGAACATCTCCACGTGCACTAAAATGCCGCGCGTGTCCCGCATGTTTACGTGGAAGGCCTTGCAAATCTTGTCGGACGAGGTACTGGAGGTCACCTCTTGAAAGAACTTCTCGCGATCGGCTTCCGTGGCAAGAATAGCTAGCATGCTCGCCCCAGTCTTGTTTCGTAGCGGGTTGATCATCAGCAGCGCAGCGAGACTCTCCGAACAGTGCGCCAGCTTCAAATCAGGACCGAGCTCCACTACGGCGTCACAGATGCCTGCCAGTATAGCCCTGGCGGCCCGCAGCTCGTTCTTAGAGTGGGTGCTTTCGAGATGGAAAGCGGCCGCCTTTGAGAAAACGATGTGCACACTGACCAAGTATACACTTACAAAGATCCAGTCGAAGCCAATCATTTCCAAAGTTTGGACGAAGTCGAAGCAAGGATTGCCGTTGGAAGGCCCCACCAGCAGCGTGAGCGTGGCGCTCAGGTACAGGACGGAGGCCCAAAGAAAGTTCATCGGCATGTACAGATTCATCACTGCCAGGCCAATACAATCAAACATGATGAACAACCTGAGGTCAGGCACCGCCTCCGCGAACTGAAAGAGCGGTGAAACCTTGAGCGCAGCCGCAAACAACACAACCGAATACCAGAGGTGCACTGTCACCAGGGTAACCAGCCCTGGGAACAAGCGCAAGATCGCGCACACAATGCAAAATAGACATGCGTACAAACGTAACGGTAGGATAAGCTCACTGTTGTCTCCAACCAGTGCCTGCAATGAGAGGAAACATACCATGACCACAGAAATGACCCGAACAAAATGCCGAGATATGTCGATCCTCATGGACTGCTTGTGTACATAAACGGGGTCCTGCGCATCACAGCCGCACAGAACGAACGTCTTCACGGCCTTCGAGAATTCGAATAAACGACCCGAGCAATCGCGCACAAATGGCAGCGCGCGCTCCTCGCGGCACAGTCGCAGGATCGGGCGCCCCAGCGTCGCGGCAGCGCAGAGCACGACGGTGACTGCCTCCACTGCACGGACGCTGCGGAACTCCAGGACCTCCATCGCAGGGGCGGGGAAAGGGCCGTCCGCTCGCGCGGAATGCGGAACACAGGCCGTCTTGAGCCAAAATGGCTACGGAGGGGGGGGGCAGGGACGTAATGGAATAAGAAAGGGCGCCATGAGATCTGGGGAAATATCATGGCCCCCGCCATGATATCCACCCCCCCCTAGTCATCACCCCCCTCTTTTCCGCCCCCGATCTTCGTCGGTGGCAACTCACGGGAGCCTCCCCTTACGGGATGCCCGGGGGGGTTCTAACTGGACAAGGGAGGTTTACTAAAGGGAGGTTTGTCCACCGCCGAAATAAACAAAATCATGGGAGTCTGGCGTACCCTCTTAGTCCCGTCTCTAGCGTCGACTAGCGTCTGGGAGTCCCCTAGTCCTCACCCCCCTCTTTGCCGCCCCCGACTGTAGAGGGACAGGCCCGACCTCAGTCCAGGCGCAGGGGCCGCCCCCGGGCCAGGGCCGTGCCCGTCCGCACCCGCATCGGCTCGCCACGGCTCGGACGACGACTACTACTACTACTACTACGACTACTACTACGACTACTACTACTACTACTACTACTACTACTACTACTACTACGACTACTACTACTACTACTACTACTACTACTACTACTACTACTACTACTACTACTACTACTACTACTACTACTACTACTACTACTACTACTACTACTACTACTACTACTACGACTTACTACTCTACTGACTACTACGACTATACTACGGACTACTACTAAACTACTACTACTACTACTATACTAATTACTACGACTTACTACTTACTACTATACTACTACTACGACTACTAACTACTACTACTTACTACTACTTACTTACTCTTACTACTACCTCCTACGACTACTACTACGATACTACTATACTAATACTACTACTTACTACTACGGACTACTACTATATACTAACTACTACTCTCCATAGGCTACTACGATACTACTACTACTTACTAATACTATTACTTACTACTTACTACTACTACTCACTACTACTACTACTACGACTACACATAAATGTTTTAAAAAAAATAATATAAAATACAAAAAAAATAAATAATACTACTACGACTACTACTACGACGACTTACTACTACTACTACTACTACTACTATATACTACTACTATATACTACTACTACTACTACTACTACTACTACTACTACTACTACTACTACTACTACTACTACTACTACTACTACTACTACTACTACTACTACTACTACTACGACTACTACGACTACTACGACTACGACTACTACGAATACTACGACTACTAC